TTGTCTGTGATTCTTAAACTCATAAAATCCACACAGTTTAAGAAGTTTTCAAGGGATAGAGACAAATTTTTAACTACATTTCTTCCAAATTATGTTTTAATGACAGAAATTACCACTATTTTTAACTTTAGTCTTTTGTCAAGCCTGAGTGAATAATAACACTGCTATTTCCAAATGTTTTAAGATGTTACAATCTAACAAGAAAATTTAGAATTTACTTTTAAAACAAATTAAAATATTTCTAAGTAATAAATGGATGAATGCTGAGCTACTGTTTTGTTTAATGTGTCCAAGTAGAGGTGGTGTAACTAAATGTATGTAAGGGTGTTTTCATTTGTTTTACCTGAATCTTAATAACTTAGTGATGATCAACTGTATAAAAATATTAGTTAATTACCAAAGGCTTATAATACATATGTGAACCACAATGCCCTGAGTTTTCCATTTTTATTTAAAATAAAACAATCCTTTATTCCTCTGCAGTCAAATATCTGATTGTTTAACAACAAAAAACACACATATATAACTCAAAAACACTAATCCTGAAACCATGACATTAAAAAATATTAGAATGATTTCTACATAGTCTTTCTCAAAAGATACAGTTTTCTATATGTGAGTATATAGAAAATGAAGCTATCTTTATTTTAAAAATCATAGAATAGAAGAAACCAATATGTATTCCATGACAAATGTTAAGATTTTAAATAGTAGGGAAAGAAAAAAATACTAAATAATAAAGTACAAAGAGGTTCAGACAGAAGACAACTATTAAACCAAATGTTTATGATAAAAAATGTTAGAAAATCTTGAAATACTAAAATTAAAATCTATTACAAAACACAGCTTTTTACACTTTGAACCTACGACAAGTCTTTCCAGTACAAAGACTCTTTAGTGAAATGGGACAGGATTAAACAAAAGTGTATTTAATGTCTCAGAATTTGATAAAAAATATTAAGACTAAAATTCATATATCTATATCTAGTTAATATCTATCTTAATACTTAAACTTGTCCTTCTAAAAGAAAGATGCTTTGAAGTATCTTTAATATAGGCAAAGAAAAAAAAAAAGGCAAGAGAAAATCATTTCCCTACCAGAAAGCAGTATTCTTAGGAAGGTTCTAGTCATTTGTTCATGCAAATAATAAGAAAAATCCATAAACACATATTAGTAATGTGATACTCTACAACTGATTTACTTCTGTTAATATTAATAATGATTTTAAAGTTCTAGTACTGTCACTTGTAAAAAATGCAAAAGCAGCTTAATCTCATTTTTGATACTTATTTGAAAGAAAAGTGGTAGTTTATTACTGATTTCCTTTGGTCTGAAGGGATTTGGGGCTACCAAATCTCAGAAAGTCATAGTCTGAATTCTAATTAAATGCCAAAATTGTTGCCTGGCACATAGTGTTTCTAAGTTTGCTGAATTAAAACAAGGTACAACTACATGTATAGTAATACTCCGACAATTCTTTCTAAGATGGTGTTTTCTAGCTATAATCAGACCAATAATCTGTTTCTTCTAAAAAAGGGTTAAAGAGAAATCAGTGAGGATTACTTAAGCTTCATTTAACAAAAGGAAAAAAAAAGGACAGTCAATTTTAGGCCAGTACTTTAAAATAAGGCAAATTTTTCATAGAATAAAAATTCAAAATCGTGTGTAAGTTTATACTGTTTTTAACTGGAGAAAGCTTATGTATCATGTAGAAGAAACATCTAATATAGTCACTGGACATTCTTTTTCTTTTTGTAAACCAAATCAACTGACTAATATTTCTGATTGAACTTATTTTGTGACATTCTGAACAGTTACTACATATTGCTTTACAGAGATAAAAATATGTATGTCTCCACGAAACCAAAAACAAACAAAAATGCAGTACACAAAGCATGATGAAAGAAGGGCTCCAGAATATGAAAGCTATTTCGAAATTTTCATCCTTAGGCTCTAGATGAACATTAAAAATTATTAATTTAATTGGGAAAAAAGCTGTGCTACACACAAACACCTGAGGCTACATTTTGTAAATGTACAACTAAGACAACTTATCAGCATTAACACAAAGTGTAAAACTGGACTTTTATAAAACAGAATGAAGGGCAAACAAATGAAGATCAATGCTACCAGGAAGCCTGATACCTGGCTTTCTATAGTCCTCTGCCCCAAAACATGCAAACATAGCTTTAAAAAGAGCTGAGTTACAGTATCAACACCTTTCCCCACCATTGTTTTCCTGTGGTAATGTAAGACTTTTCTAGTCCTTACAATAAAAAATAAATTAATTAGAACTGTCCATTTTTGCAGAGAAATATAGTTAATACACTTAATATACATCTGTTGGAATTCATATCTACATGCCCACAAGCCTAAAACCAAAATCTTCCTCTTACTAGCACCACGTAAATGGGAAAATATTGTGAATGCTGTGGATTTTATTTAGGTGCTAGTGTGTTCTCAAGCTTCAGTGCAGTATTTACAATAAAGGAATCTTTTCACTTCTTTTCAAGATGGCTTATTAAACCTAACAATCCCGCACCTATCACCTCCTAAAACAAACAAAAAACCCATAAACCAGAACATTAAAAAAGTATGGTTAAATTTAACCAGCCTGGTGGAATTTATAAAGTCTCTCCCCACCCCACCCTCAAAATTCTACAAGTCACATAATAATCTGAATGAAAATTAAAGCTCAAAACCTAAAACAGCAAAACCTACTGACTCTGGTATTTTAGATAAAATTACATTAAAAACAGAAATAGAGTTTCATGCAATTTCATTAAAGCAAATTTTAGAGAGGATAATTAGCATCTCTTATGAAATTTTCAACAGATGATTTAAAATAAACAGCTCTGAAAAAAAGTAATGAACATAGGTTGTGTCATTGTAATTCCTGTTTTGAAGGTAATATAAAATAGTATGATTTATAAACTCAGCTATTCCATTTATTAACATAAATTATATTTATAAATTTACAAAAAAATTCCTAGGATCTTTTCATCTGAATATTTTCTAACAATGTATATTTGACCTAATGTGAGAATACAAACTCTTAAGTTTCAAAATTTCAATTACTATTCATAAAAGTATAAATTTCTATTAAAAAATCTTTCAAAACCCATCTATGGCTATCTTGTTTATCAGTGAGTTTACCGATTTTCTTTGTAAACCACACCCGCCTTTTATCAAGATACAATAAAACGGAATGACAAGCTTTGTAATAAACAGAAATACACAGACGGTTGTCTCAAGCAACATCAAACAAAAACCAAGTGAAAATCAACCAAATAAAATACAACACATCCACAGTGTTGTATGCTATACATTTCTTCATAATGAATTTATGAATGAAATCATACACACTGCACCTGTGCTACTTACCTGTTGTGTTGTCTAAATTAAGCAACATATATTTCTTGTAAATAAGGTTTTAAGTCCATTGCAATGGCTAAATTAGAAAAACCTATATATTTTAAATTATCTGTGAAACGTTTAAAAAATATATTTCAATTTCTGTGGGAAATGTGGAAAAGCTCATTCTTAAGAAAATTGAAGTTTCTTTTCATGGAAATAAAAGCAACAATTCTTCCGTAATCTGCATCTGACAAATACATGTGGCTTAAGATGAAAATTTTCTGTCAGAGGAACAAAAAAAAAAACCCACCCAAATTCAGTTTTTAACCAATAGAGAACAGGGGCAAATATATAAAAGTCTTGTAATCTCAGCCAGCAGAATTACAATTTTGCGAAAATTGTCTTCTCTAGGTTTTACTTTTAATATACATTTCAAAATCACTCGAAAATCCTTTATGGACGAAAAAAATACTACACATCAGCTTTTAAACTCCTCGTCTTAACGTTTCATTACGTGGTTTTCTAAAAGTGTAATTTTTTGGAAAGTCAAGAATTATAATCTAGTGTTCAACATTCAAACCCCCCAGTCCCGCTTCCTTCCAGCCAATCAGGGGGTAACAAGTTCGGTGTTTTGGGAGCTCCGTTAGACACCATTTGAAAAACATCACATTGCGCTCTCCTATTCTCTTCGGGGAAAGATTTTAAGTGAGGGCGGGTCCCCCAATCTTTACAGAAATAAGAACTCAATCAATCGTTACATCAATTCCAGGGGCGGGGTGGCGGGGGTAGGTAAACTTTAGGCAGGCAGTCCTAAGAAGTGTGTGACTGAAAGCGTTATTCCTCTTTTTCGAACAATTGAATAGCTGCTGCAAAAATCAACTCCAGTATATTCGCAACCCAGAGTCGCGCGCCCCATACGCAATACATCACACCAGGAAAGGGTTAATCTAGGGTGCCTTCAGCGCAGAAAAGGATTTAAGATCCAGTACATTTTTAATGAGGAATTTTACAAAGGCCATTATCTACCTATAAAGTATTAAAGTTAAAGCCGTCACTGGCTCAAATCATTCAAGTGCAGTCGAGCAAAAATTGGTAGAAACTACGAGGAGGAAAAAAAATCACTAAAGGGAAAGGCAAATAACAGCCCTTTCCCCTCCGCCTCGAAGTCAAGAGCGCTCCCAAGAAAAGGTGGGGATTGCAAAATTACCGTTAAGTTCTCCGGGGAAAGACTTTTCGAGAGGAAAACATCAACACAGTTTCAAAGATTGCCTTTTTTTCTTTGCGACATGTTTCAAAGGCTGGAGAAGGAAAAAGTCTTCTAAGAAAAGTGCGGCTCGGAGAAGGAAATCGCAAGGTCGAAGCCCCATCTTTCATCTCACCCAAGAACACTCCCCCCGCCCCCCCAGCCCACCAAGAAAGGACGACACCGTGAGAGCAAACGACCAAAATCCCGAGCAAAAAGCGAAAGTCCAGCATCTTTCCTAGGAGCCCGCTAAAACCTCAAAAGCCTGCCCCCGCCCCATCTTGCCCAAATTGGAAAAGCCAGACGCGGGTCAGTGCTACTCCTGCTGGGACCCAGGGGCGCGGAGCCGGAGGGCGGCGTGGACAGACTCACAGCGCGAGGGCATCTCCCGCTTTGGCGTCAGAGACGACAATACACACGGCTGGGTCCCGCGGGGAGGACTGTCCGCGTGTCTGACCGGAGGCACCCGCTACGCCGGGTCCTCAATTTTCCGCCGACCTCAAGTTTCTTGTCACGGGAAGACGGCCGCCGCGGGCCGGGTAAACTGCGATAAAAGACGGCTCGGTTCGCCCACGGCGGGGGAGGGGGCGCCCGTCCCCCGCCTCCTGTCAAGGAGCCGCGGCCAGCAGAGCCCCAGCGCGCCCCGGCCCCGGCCCCGGGCGGGGGGTCCCGCTGACAGATCCGCTGGGCGGCGGCCGCTGAGCCGCAGCGCGTCCGCGTCCCGCTCAAACTGCAGCTCCCCTCCCCCCACGCCCGCGACTCTCCGCGCTCCCGCCACATCCCGCCCGCCACCGCCCACTCAGACAACCCTATTACCCCCCAACCCTATCTTCTTGCACTTTTTTTTTGCGATTAAAATGAAGGCGGACCCACTGCCCCACTCCCTGCACCCCCCACCGCCTGCCGGTCCCACCACTGCCACCTCCCGAGTCCCGCTCTGCTACTTCTTCAGGCTCTTACCCGCTGCGCCAACCCTGACGAGGCTCCGCCAAGTGCCCTTTGCTCTAAATAAATTTTTGGGATTTTTTTAGTGATTTTTCGGCCGAGTCCTAGAGGCGCTATAGTCTCGGACAGGTTACCCCGTCTCTCCCGCTAGATTGATGAGATCAGGCATCACTCGAAAATGGCGCCGAAAGCGCTGAGGCTCCTCATTCAAATTCGTTAGAGCCAACCCCGCCGCCCCGGGGCATGCCGGGAACGCGGGCTGCCTCCACAGCTGTCAATACCGCCTCCTAACCCCCACTACGCTAGCTTTCCCGACACTTCTGCTCATGCGCAAACTCCTACTCCAACCCCTCGCCTGAACATGCGCAGAATCCTCGCGTGGTCGCCGCTCTCCCTTCGCTTACTCAGCCGCGGTAGTCCTACCTCTTTTCCTGCGCGTGCGTGCAGCTCCTGAGCTCAGCCGCGGGGCTGGAGGGGCCGTGGGGACACTGGGCCCGACGGTCCATAGGTGACATTATCTGTCGATAGGCATTTGGTCTACTGTTTGAGGAAAACAAACAGGGGTGCAGCTTAGGTGAAAAGAGAAACAGCTTATTGCCAGTGTCTGAACTAACAACGGAATGTGTCTGGGAGCGTGTGTATGGATACACGTGTACTTTAGAGCAGCCCCGCCTGCGTGCAGAGCTCTTGCTCTAAGTCAACGCTTCACGGGAGCTATCGCACTTAAGCCTCAAAACAACTTTATGAGGTAGGTACTGCTATTATTCTCCGTTTGCAGACCAGGAAACCAAGGCCCAAAGAGTTTAAGTAATTTCCCTAAGGTAGCACAGGTAGCAAGCACGTGAACGAGTCCGCATCTGTCAGATTCTGGAGGACGGGTCATTCTCTACTTTGCTGTGCAACTTTTGATCAGTTTCTCACTGTCTTCTCGTTCTTAAACATTCTCCCGGGGTTTGGAGAGGTGAATGGGTTATGGGCAGTTTGGGGGATCACTTAGGGGGATTAAAAAAAATGATTGGTAAGGGAGCTTAATCTAGCAAAGATGGGTTTCTATTGTGCCACGCATTGGTAAAGTAATAACAACTAGATACATTGTATTGACTGTACTCTGGGCTGCCATGGTGCTAACCAAACGCTTTACGGAATGATGTTTATTGCCCACAACAGCTCTGTGAAGTAGGCGTTATCTTTATTTTGCACAAGAGGACACCTGAGACTCAGATTAAGAAACTCGCCCCAAAGTCTTAAAACTACTAAATAGAAGCACAAGACCTAGGCAGATCTATTCAGTGTCAAAAAAAACTGGGCACTGTGATAGGACGGTAAATGATGATAAGCTATCAATATTGAATGCCTTCTTTAAAAACCTTTTAAAATTCTTCATTTGCTTGAGAGAATTATTTCACCTGTTGCCAGGCTAGTTAAGATTAAAAAAAATTAGCCTCCAGCTAATAAAAAAAAAAGTTAAAAAAAAAAGATTACAAAAAAAAGACTGCCTTTGATCTTAAATGATTACATTTTAAGATTATTTTAAAACTGGTTGCTTTTTTCCTGATCCCAAGTTATTATGAATTCTCTAAAGAATCCAACAGTTAAATATCTGGGGCATTGTTACACTTTTTTCTAGTTTTTATTGTAAAACAACTTGTGATGAATCATAACTGTTGGAGTATACAGACAGACATCATTGCGAGAGTTAAATGAGACGAGTGTGAAAATGCCTCAAGTCCTAAGAAGGAAGGAAATGGGAGAAGGTAGCGTGGTTTGCGTTGCTGCTTCTGCTGCTGCTAAGTCGCTTCAGTCCTCTCCGACTCTCTGCGACCCCATAGACGGCAGCCCACCAGGCTCCCCCGGCCCTGGGATTCTCCAGGCAAGAACACTGCAGTGGGTTGCCATTTCCTTCTTCAATGGTTTGTGTTACTGAGGTACAATCAGAAGAGAAATGGATTTTAATAATTTGATAATTTGACATCATCAAGTAGTATCAGCAAGTAAGTATGTGACTTACATCTCTATGGTACTTTTTGTGCACTGGTTAAGTGAATAAACTGTGGAACCAAACTGCTTGGGTTGGAGCTCATCTGTTACTTACTAGCTTTGTGACCCTACAAGAGTTACTTTTTTTTCAGTTTGATCTTTTGTAACATGATCAATGTTAGTTCTTCATCCAGTTGTTTTAAGGATGTGAATGAGCTAATATATTAAAGATATCTGAACAGTGCATGGTATGTTAGTAAATGTTAGCTATTCTTGTGGGTCAATCATTAACACTAATCTTTGAAGATGGTTTCTTTAGAGGTTTTTTAAAGACCAGATTACAGTTAGGGCCATTAAGAATTAGCATTTGTGTTCAAGAGCCTCTTAAAATGATAAATCACAGGCAAATTATTTTTGCCAAATGGAGTGATAATTTCTGTCAGATGAATAAAGATGTTAATTTTGTTTTGCCATTTCATAAGAGTAACCTATGAAAATGGGTAGTTTTACTGCTCTAATTATTAAAGGGAGAAAAGGGGAAAACTCAGGCCACTCTAAAGTATAAAAACCATCCAAATTTCTATCATCTAGAGATGAACACATATTATTTGTAATTTAACAATATACCTGTGGAGAGAATCAGTTAGCTGCAGTCTGGATAAGTGGTATATTTGGTGGAACTTATTTGCAAGACTGTACTAGAATAGAATGAATTAGTAAAATTTTTATCCAGTCCATCCACTTTTAAGATTTATTCTGTCAGAATTCCAAAGTGCTGATATTAATAAATAATAACATTTATTGAGTACATACTAGGTACTGTATGTCAGCTAAGCATGTAGATCCATTTTCTCCTCGAATCTTCATAATAACTCCTGAGGTAGGTGTAATTACTGTCTCCATTTTGCACAGACTAAAGTTTATATAGAGGTCACTTTTAGAATTAAGTCCTGTTTGTTTCAGATCCTATTTAACAAAAAAGGATTTAAAAATCCTTCATTAAAGTTTCTTGATTCACTAACATGGGAGAAAACAAAGTCAAGTTACCCGGTTCTTATGCCTGAACAAAAAAACCCAACTGGAAAAAAAAAATGGTTTTGAAAATGAAGAATTTTATATTTGACCACAAGGGGGTGCAAATTCCCGAACTGAACTTGAAAGCAAAGAAAAAAAAGCACTTTTACTTCAGATCTTCAGATTCACAGGTAAAAAAACTAGTAAGAACACCTTCCTTGAACTTTAATACTTCACACAGTGATACACTTGATGAGAAGAAAGAACTCAATTATTTAGGGACTCAATTGGGGCAGAAGTTTTCAGCTTTCTTTCATCTTCAATACAGTGAAGAGTTAAGTCACCCTACTCCCACCCCTTTTCACCCACCTAAGTTTGTTTCTCTGCATACTCTTTTTGACTTGTCATAAGAGTAAAACTGAAGTCATAATTTAAAATTTGAGGTTTTACTTTGGAAACTGCCATGCAATCACCGGCAAATGAATGGTAAATATGGGTAGTGTGGGGAGCAGAGGTCTTGTAATTTCGATGCCTTTTTTTCCCCTCCTGCTGTTTCTTAAGAGTAAGCTGCAACTAATGGAATGTTGGCTTCAACATATTAGCTTATTTAGGTAAACTGTGAAAGTTACAGGTCTGTTCATCTTTTAAGGAAGAATGAAACCTCTTAAGAAAACACTGTGAACAGTAACCTGAAAACTCAGTATACACTGGTGAATGTTTTAAAAACAGTTTGCATAGATGCAAATTGCACAGATGTAAAAGCTACATAAATAGCTTTTATTTTCCTGTTGGTCTTGTTTTTCTGAGGTGGACTTAATTTTTTAAAGAAAACTTTTTTTACTTGGAAATAATTTCAAATTTAGAAAAAGTTGCAAAAATAGAAATAGTTCAGAGAACACTGGTATCATTTACTTGTTCTTTTGCAAATTCTCTGTCTCTCTCCAAATATATATGTTTCTTTATATGCAATTTTTTTCTGAACCATTTGAGGTTAAGTTACATACATCTTGGCTCTTGATCCTTAAATACTTGTATTTCCTATCAACTTCATAAATTTACATTGAAAAAATACTTCAATCTACCATTGATATAGGCGTTTTGTAGGTTGGTCCTTGTAGCACTTCCCTCTTCAATATAGGAGCCAGTCTGGGGTCAGGTACTACATTTAGTGGGTCTTGATTCTAGCTTCTTTTACTGGAACACTTTCACAGCCTTTCTTTATCTTTTATGACTTTGGCATTCTTAAAGAATATAGTTTCTCCCTCCACCCTCCTTTTAGAGAGAACATTCCTTATTTTGTTTTTGTCTGATGCATCCTCATTAAGTTAAATTGAGGTTTTGCATTCTTAACTAGACGATGGCACGGGTGATATTGCGTCCTTCTGAGTACCACTTCTGGAAGCATGTGATAGCCGTATGTCTCTCACTGATGATGTTCATTTTGATTATCTGGTCTTTATGTGGCCAGAATTTTCCAATGTATGGTTAACTGGGTTTTTTTTTTTTTTCTTCCTGGCAAATAAGCAATCTGTGGGGAAATACCTAAAGATACATCCTACTCATCAAAGTTCCCATTTAAATTTAGGATATGTTACTGCCAATACAGTTTTACAATGATGGTTGTAACATGATTCAACAAATCTATTAAGTCCTTTGATATTGAACAGTCAGTCCACAGCATTCTACTGCAAACAGAGGGCCCTTTCTTCTCCTCTGTTTATTTATCTGCAATTAACTTATGAATTCCTGTGTTTTTCCACTTCTGTATTTTGTTTACTTGTGTTCTATCTATATTTGTATGTGTATATTTTGTATATTTTTTTCTGAACCATTTCAAGGTAAGT